CATCGACGACAGCGATAGGGACGAAGACTGTCGGCAAGTCTGCGAGCCGTGCCAGTGAAAACAAGAAGGGCGTTCAAGACGACGACTTTGACGCGTGGGAGTTATACGGCGTCTAAGTTTGGCAGTGGCGTGTCTGCCGGCTGGGTGCGCGTATTATTGTCGCCTTTCAGCCCATGTACCGCTCCGGCGAAAAGTATCTTTTTTTGTGGAGTAGCTGCCATGCGTCGCGCCCTTTCTCTTGTCCGTTCGTCCCGTCGTCTTTTCCTTTCCTGCTCATATCTTGTTACATTTGCTATTCCTTTTTGCTTGCTTTTCTCTAATTTAGCTCACGTTTTTGCAACCGTTGGTATCTTCTTCTTTTCATTTCTGTTTGTGTCTCTTTGATTTTATTTATTGACTTGCGTCTGCACATCAAATTTCGAGAAAAAAAACTGGAAGGACAAAGGAAAAGGGATATCGACAACTAGGGGCGATACCATTTAGAGGTTGAGGAGGGGAAAATGATTGGGAGAGTGACCGGAGTCTAGAAGGGCTAATATGAAGAAGGTGGGCAAAGACAACAACGAAGCTTACGTTTAGAAAGTAAACATCGTTTCGCTCCTCGCTTTCGGTCTTAGCCACTCGCTTGTATGCAGACATGAAATATACCAAATATTTAACATTAAATAAACGGAACGATCATACGTCAACTACTTATTCGACCGTTTTCAACCTTTGAGACCGTTCATGAGCTGACCTCTCCGGAGCTCAGACGAGATAGCGGAAACCGTATGTGATTGCTCACTACACCCGTGTCATTCCACGTTGGTCGCAGCCGGACTTGCTGCAATTGAGTGGGCGGTGCAATCATGAGACCACGCAGACATGCACACATTTTCTCTCGTACAAACGTCTTTGCTTTGTCGGCAATCTCTGGCCGGAGAATAAAGGGGGAAAAGAAACAAAGAATTATACAACTTGCAACTGCATCCGGCGTTGCAGCGTTTCGAAGGATCTGAAAAGACGGCCTGCGACCTTGAACAGATTTTCGTCAGCTCCGGGCCGCCATCGCTTGCTGTTGACAAACGAAGAGTGGTGATCATAGGCAGTCCCTGAAATGGCTTCTCGTCTCCATTTGCGTCTTCCAACAAACCCTCTTGATGTGGCTGAAAATGTCGCCATACCCGACGTGACTGGTTTTGGTTTCATGTTTGCCCGTTGGACGTGGAAGCACAAAGAGACACATCAAACGAAACAAATCAAACGAAAGACGTAGCCGCCGACAAACGCCCAAAGCCGAGGATCACAAGGGTCTCGATGCCAGACAGCTGGCGGATGCAAAAATGCCTCGTTCTCCCTGTCTACACAATACAAGCAACGAAGCGGCCGAAGACGGGCGTGCCACGTAAGAAAGTAGCCAACACAACATACAGAAACAGAAACGACCTTCCAACAGTCGTCTTCTCCCTCCACGTTCGCCCCTTTTTTGCGGCGTGCGTCTGATTAAACTGATTCCGGGGGAAGAAGAAAAGGCCACCAAAGAGAGAGAGAGAGAGAGAGAGAGAGAGAGAGAGATCGTCGACGCAGGTCCCAGGTTGATTGGAGATTTGTCTGCGTGTTGTTGGACCCGTGTTTTTGGCTTGACTATGACTTGCATACGGACGCGTCCTTGCTCCCTGATCGCGTTGTGTCTCATACGCCCGCGTTCAATAAAGCTCTGGCAAGGCGATGGCCGCTTTCAATGAGGTGCGTGTGAGGGTGTTCGGCCATCTTTCCCACGCTGCCCCCATGTACCTGACGCTCCCAGCCAGCTTGTCTATCTCCCAGCCCGTCGATGTCTTGCCGCTCCCCTTGCACCAGCCGAAGTTTCGTTATTCGACACCGGCATATTGTTAATGAAAATTGAAATAAAAAAACTGCCACTTACGCACAGCTAGCTTCAGACATTCGGCATAACGAAACGTATTGCACCCGTCCGGCCCTCTTGGGCGTATTAAACATGCGTCGTCGAGAGATTGCACATTTACTATTGAGGATTCTACCCCAACACAGAGGATATATAAAATCAGACACAAGCTGAACAAGCTGAACAAGAGCCATGCATGTCATTTACAATTTACGTCGCGCCGTTTTCTAAATTGCATCGTTTTCCTGCACTATGAATGGACTCGGGAATCTATTTGTCGCGCGTCTCGCCGAGATGGATCGGCCGCCGTTTAACTTGGACACTTGAGAACATCCCTGGTCGAGCTGATGTTTCTCGTCTCTCCAGTCATTGATGTCTTACCTTTAGGAGGCCATTGGATGTGCGAGCGTCTCGAGAAGTAAGTTTATTTGCTCCCAGCTTGACAGCTTGGCGCTTGTCTGTATGTCTCAGTTTGCATATGGATTCGCTCGGATCTTCCCCCTTTCTTTCTGTACATTCTTTTCTTTCTTGTTCTTGCATCCACTGCCTTCCTCTCAGCCAAGCTTCTCGCTCTCTCCTTGTCACTCTTAATTTCGTCCGTCTTTTTTTACTTTTCAAAATTTCATCCCTTTTTGGCTAACCTTTCAAAATATGCAAGGGGTATTTTTTCCCTCCTTTTCCGTCGTCCTCCCGCCGCTTTCCATGCAGGTCAAGCCCTGTCAGGCACAGAAAAAAAAGGTTGATCCGGGTCCCATGGGTTGCTCTCAGCCCGACGGCACGAAACGGGTGGTTTGCGGTGTGGATGCATGGACATGTGTTTGCAGGATTTTTTTTTTCTCTCCCCTGCACGCGGACCTGGATGATTGGGTATGGTTTTGGGTCGCTGTTTGGTGTGCTGTTCAATACTGCAGTGGTGCCGTGGCCGGCGTTTGGTGGCCGAGAAAGCCAGCGGGTGGCGGAGAGTGGGTATTTACAGTGGATACAGATACTGGAGGGTGGCGCCCCGGTAGACGGGAATGGGCGTGATGGGGTCGTATCGGCAGACGCCAGCAGAAGAGACTAAGGCATGGGACCTGGGCTTTACGGAACTGGACTGGTCGTCTTGACTGGCAGACTGGGACGCAACTGGTCCTCGGGCTGTTGTGTGCGGCCTAACAGCTTGGCTAGACCTAGAACTTGCCAGGGGTAAGATACAGGGGCGGGGCGAAGAAAGATACCTAACGGACAATATCCAGGTCTGTTGAGTCACGAGAAAGAAAAAAACAGGAAAGAAATGAAAAGTCAGCAACCAAAGAAAACGCACAACATGATGCCACGACTTTTTCTTGAGAGAGGGGGGAGGGCGCCTTCTTGGTCGTATTGCCCTTTTTGTGCTCCTTTCTGCTCTTTTTTGTCTCCATTTTGTTTCGTTTACATTCAGTCTTGTCGTATTGTTTTAGCCCCCCCCCCCCTTTTTTTTTTCTTTTTCTTTTTTTCTTCTTCTGTAGTTTCTTTCTTCCCCGCGTTGGTTCTCTTGCCCTTGCATTTTAACGTCTTACTTTGTGAGCTTTGGAGCTTCGCAGCTTCGCAGCTGCACAGTTTCGCAACTTGAAGCTATGCAGACGGACAAATACGACCTGCAAACGGCCTTGTGACCGCCAACGAACCAGTCGCCCATCTCCTTTCCGCCAAGCGGTTCGCTTTCGGGGGCGACTTTGGCTTTTTTCGCTTTTCGATCGTAGAGAGTGGAAACGAGGTAGAGCAAAAAAGACAAAGAAGCAGTAAAAAAACCCTGGCTCTCCGCTGGCATCAAGCCCCTGTCCTTGAGGTGGCAAGCTCTGGTTGGTTGGGTTCGGAGGACAGGATGATGGGAAGAAAAGACGAGGCAAGCAAACCAAATCTGACATGAACAGCTGCACGGCCAAAAGGTGAGTCCCATCCCATCTTTGGTTTTCCAATGCCTCATGTCTCTCCGGCCCGCCCTGTCTCTCATCCGTACCCTGCTCCCTCGTCTGCTCCTGTCGACGTTTCTTTCTTTTTCTTTCTGGAGCTGTGTCTCTCTGTTTTGTATCCCTTTGGGAGATCCTCTACTTTCTAATTTACCGCGACGGATGGCGCAACTAGTGCGAGACAAGAAGATAATCTAGAAGAAAGAGAAGATGCATCGACAAGACCAGATGAAAAAGGACGCAACGTAAATATGTTTTCAAGAGCACATGGTACAGAGGTACTTCCAGACTGCACAGCTCATCACACGCTCACAAGTCACTCTCTATCGTTCGTCGCTCCCGCCTCGGATGTGGCCTTTGTCGACTCCTCGTCCATTGTCCCTTGCTTTCGTCCGTTCGGGTTCACACCCACCCACTCGTCGCGTGCCAGCGTGGTTGTGTGTTCGTTGTACTCCGTATTAGTGCCGCTTTTGGTTGAGCGCTGCCGTCAAGCCGTCCGATTTTGCCTTTCCGGGTCCCACGAAGGCGACCCCACGAGGAGACGACGTTTCTTGTGAGTGCGAGTGTGTGCGTTGGTGTGTGTGGGTGTCGTGGTCGATCTGTGCAAAAGACGCATTTGCCAACTGCTGCGACCGTCACGTTTTGACCGTCTTGCCGCGGCGGTTTTGCGTGTCGTTGTTTTGCGCGATGCGATTGGTGTGAATGCTGTTTGTCGTGGCTGTCTTTATTTCTTATTTCTTCCGTTTCTTTCCTTTTTCTTTTCCGCTTTTGCTTTTGCTTTTGCTTTTGCTCCCCCAATGTTGAACCCCTTCCTACTTTGCCTCTCCCTTGTCTTTATGTTTCCCTTACTGTCCCTTTACTTGGTTGTTCTCCCATACACTTATCCTCCCATACACTTATCCTTCCGCTCCTCACCAACATATACCCTTTGCTTGTCCTACGCTTTTCCTGTAAGCAGGCCAGACGGTATCTTACATCCTACACCAATGATCACACTCTACAATCTGGACGTACATTGTCACAAGAGCACAAGACATACTACTTCGTACGCAATACACGTACAGAACAGCGTACACCAATTATAAGCTACAAAAACATTGCCGAACATTGACGGGAATCTTCTAGCACAAAGCAAAAGATCCAGGAAGACAACCACGCTTACTCGCACAACACCCGAGGTCACACAAATGGTGCTGCACCGGTTCAATAGCGTCGGCGGTGGCAGCCACGCCCAAAAGCCCAGACTGACGCCCAGAAAGTCGGCGTCCTCCTTGACCTCCCCCTCCTCGACATCGGTCATGTCTGCACCAGGGTCGACGCCCGCGTCAACCGTGTCGCCATTGCGGTCGTCACACCTCGTGGCCCTGCGGTACGAGGAGACTGTGCAGGCCAAGCCGCCTATCATGGTCACCCAGAGAAGAGGCGGCAGCGGCAGTGCAACCAGCAGCTCGCTGTATCTGGCGCGCTCGCGGTCCACGCTGTCTACACGGTCCCTGGCCACGACGGCCACGACGGCCACGACGGCCACGGCCACCGCCGCGGCTGCGTCGTCGCCGTCCGTGCCGCCCCAGGCGCCGTCACTCTTGTCCTCGTCTGCCTCGTCTGCCTCGACGCCGTCCCCGTCGCCGTCGCCGTCTCCGTCCAAGTCCACGGCGCCACGGCACCCATTGGTCATTCTGCGCCCGCCGGGCCTGATCGTGCCGCCCTCGGAGCAGCACCCGGCCCTCCGCACGCCGACGTTCCATCCCATTGTCGAAGAGGGCGGCGACGCCAGCGAGGAGATGGCCGAGACAAACGCGGCCACGCCCACCCCCTACACCGTCAACAGCACGCTGCGGTCGCGAACGGCCGGCCCCGACAAGGGCCCAGACCTGTGCAAGCGTGACTCCATCCTGGCATCGTCAGCGGCTTCGACGGTCTCGACGTGGCCCGAAGATGCGCAGGACATGGAGGACGAGGCAGACGAGAGCGTGGACGCCAGCAGTGCCAACAGTGCCACCCATGACACCAACGACACAAATGATGCCAGTGGCGCCAGAGAAGAGGCTCGCGACGCTCACAAAGGCCACGCCCAGCACGCCGAAGACGAAGACGAAGACGACAACAGCTATTCGAGCTGCCTATGCCGCAGCGCCAGCCGTCGTAGCAAGGTCGCGTCCGTCGTGTCGGCCGCGTGCCCTGCGCCTGTCCGCGAGGCGCCCCTGCCACCCACGGAAGCGACGCACGCCCCAACACACGACGACATTGCGACCGGTGATGCTGCTGGTGCTGCAGCGTCTCGTGTGGCCGGTGTCGAGCCAACCACGACCGCACACTCGGCCCGACCGTCTGTGGATGTGCACCCAGGCACCGCAGCTGCAGCTCCAGCCGAACGCCAGTCGACAACAGCGTCTGTCACGCGCGACAAGAGCTGGCGATTGCCCAGGAGCCCGTTCAGCTTCCGTGGCGGCCCGTTTCAGCGCAGCGGCAGGAAGAAGACCAAGCACAGCGCGAGCGAAGACGCCACGCCCGCCGTCCAGTACGAGGATGGCCTCATCCCCGTCGTGGACCCAGACACGACAGCCCACGAGAGTCTGGCCGAGAAGCAGTGTGAGGATGCGCGTGGCACAGCGGACGCGCCTGCAAGCTCGAATCATATTTTGCCCGCCTTCACCGCCCAATCCCCCTTGCCTCCAGTGGGGCCAGCCCAGTGTTCAGCTGTGCCTTCTACCGCGTTTCCAGCGCTCCAGCACCCACAACAGCATGCCAGGCTCACTAAGCCCAATCCGGCCTCGCGGCCTGTGCTAGCTTGGCAGCCCCAGCAGCCCCAGCAGCCCCAGCAGCCCCAGCAGGGCTCCTCCATCGCGCCTGCCTCCTTTCCCCTCGACACGACCGCCCCATCGTCCCTGCCGCTTCCGTCCATTTCGTCGTTTGCCTCGTTTCCCACGCCGTCCCTTCCGTACATTAGTGCCATTCAGTCTCCGTTTGCATCAAACCAAAACAACATCGACAGCACAACGCCATTGTCACCGCCGCCTCCTCTGCCAACAGCCACCGCCCCGCCGCGCTTCCTCCTCCGCGTCTTGTCCATGTCTGATTCGCGCCAAAAGCGTCAGCACCAGCAGCACCAGCAGCACCAGCAGGACCAGGACCGTGACCAGGACGGCGACGCCAACGGCGCCATCCCCAAAAGAGACAAGGACGCAAAGGACAAAACGGCCCCAAAAGCAAAAGGCACAAAGAAGGAGAGCAGGGCCACTGCCACTGGTCCCAACGACCAACCGCCGCGTCCAACCGCCTCGTCGATGCCCCTCATCAACACCGCCATCCCCGACGAGCACCTGCTGGAGGATGACGTTCTGCTGACCCTGACCTTTTCGAAACGCGGAAGCCTCATGTTTGGCGGCAAACGCGCTTTTGCATCGTCTGCCTCGTCTGCCTCGTTTGCCTCGTTTGCCTCGTTTGCCTCGTTTGCCTCGTCGGCTCCTCCTCCATCCGCGCCGTCGCCCCTCGCGCTGCCGCCCATGAACTTGCCGCCGCTGGCCCCCGCTGTCGAGCGCGAGTCTCTGCAAGTGCGCTCGCTCTACGCGTCGGGCCCGGGCGCGGACGTGGGCGCGGCTGCTGCCGATGCTGCCGATGCTGCCGATGCTGCCGATGCTGCCAAGGCTCCAGAGCTCGAGGGTGATCGTGGCAAGACTGCTGCTGCTGCTACTGCTGCTGTGTATGGACCTACCACTCCCTTGTCGCTGATGCCAGCCACCACAATGCCACTCCCACTCGTCGAGACGGGCGTCTGCTGACTGCCGTATTCCACCGCGCCGGTGCTCCCACCGGACATGCCGTGAGAGATTCACTATGCAGTTCCAATGTACCAAACGAGCAAGAACTCGAACGTGAAGAGACAGCATCACCGGACAAGCCTTCACAAGGGCCAGAAGAGCAACAGTCTCCAGACCCTCGACAACCGCAAGGGCGGCCAGTCGACTGGCCACAGGATACCCAAGAGCCGCCGCAAGACGTTCCACGACTTCCAACACCCCCACAACCGCCACTACCTCTCCAAGACACGACACCACCGCCCGACGTGTCGTCCCTGTCCGTTGCGCCTGAGCCCTCACCGGTGCCTGCACCGGCACCTCCACCGGCGCCAACAGACCACCTGCGCCCCGATGCCGCTGCACGCGCATCCGCATCCAACAATGACACCCGCACGTCCATTGTCTCGGCCACGTCGGCCACCACCGCCTCTACAGGCATTGCATTGACAGAGGGAACAGAATCGCCACTCTCGCTTGTGCCCACAGCAACCCCCCACCCGTCAGAACCGTCGTCGCCATACGACGCCAATGGCTCTACCAACAGCACGTCGATTACCTCACCTACCTCGCCCGCCTCTCCTGTCCGGAACGCATACGAGCTGGCTGGGGGGCTTGAGGACTGGGAGGACGTGGACGTTGCCGATGTCGACCGGTTCGGCTTTATCCACGTGCGCCCGCCGCCGCAAACCACGGCGGCCACTGCCAGTGGCGACGGTGACGGCGACGGTGACGGTGATGCTGACGAGGAGACCGTCCGTGGAAACAAAGAAAACGGGAACGTACAAAGAGGTGGCAGCCTTGCCAGCGGCATTGGTCGTCACTTCAGCCTCCGCCACAGATCAACCGCGCCGCGCCGCAGCAACCACCGCACGCTCACGTCCAACAATGGAAACGGCTTTGGCGCCCGTTCCGTCCACACCAGCCGTTCCACCTCCACGACAGCCACCGCCGCTGCCGCCGCCCGCTCCTCCATCCGCGCTGCCGCCAACCAGCTGCCCCACAACAAAGACCGCCGCTGGATCGATGAAGCCGGTGGGATGCTCACGCTCGAGCCTGGCCTTGCCGATATCGCCGAAGACGAGGACGCCGAGCGCCTCGCCGACGTGCTCAAGAGGAAAGAGTGGGAGCGCGCCGAGAAGTGGCGCCGCATGGCCAAGGCCGTCGTCCGCAACGATGGCGGTCGTGGTGGCGCTGGCGCCGTGGGCACGGGCGCTGGCATGGAGTTCGTGTTTGACCTGCACCACCCCAAACTCGTCGAGCGGACCTGGAAAGGCATCCCCGACCGGTGGCGCGCGACCGCGTGGTACTCGTTCCTCGCTTCCAGTGCCGAGCGCCGGCGCGCCCAGCGGGTGCCTCCGCTTCCGTCTGCAACCCCTGCGGGCGATGCTTCGGAAGAAGGAGAAGGAGAAGGAGCGACAGCTTCTCCCATCACGGTCGCATCCGCTGTCCCCGATGGCGGCGAGACCGACACCCAGATCATCGCCGCCTTCCACCGCCTGCAGGACACGGCCTCACCCGACGATGTCCAGATCGACCTCGACGTGCCGCGCACCGTCAACGGCCATGTCATGTTCCGCAAGCGCTACCGTGGCGGCCAGCGCTTGTTGTTCCGCGTCCTGCACGCCCTGTCACTCTACTTCCACGCCACCGGCTACGTCCAGGGCATGGCCTCGCTCGCCGCCACGCTCCTGTGCTACTACGACGAGGAGCGCTGCTTTGTCATGCTCGTGCGCCTCTTCCACCTGCGTGGGCTGGAGCGCTTGTACGAGCCTGGGTTCGGTGGGCTCATGGAGGCCCTAGGCGAATACGAGCAGCAGTGGCTCGCCCGCAGCAACCGCCGCGTCGCGCAAAAGCTGTCCTCGCTCAATATTGACGCCACCACATACGCCACCCGATGGTACCTGACGCTGTTCAATCTGTCCGTGCCATTCCCCGCCCAGCTGCGCATCTGGGACATCTTCATGCTGCTCGGCGATGCCGACAATGAATCGCTGGATGGTGGCAGTGGACGCATGTCGCTGTCCCGCCCCGGCTCGCGCGCCAGTACGCGACCAGGCACAGCCGCCACGACACGGCCCGGCACGGCCACTGCCACGGTTACGGCCACGGCCACGGCCGACGCAGCCGCACGCCCCGTCCATCTGACGGCCACGGCCATGATCACCGCCAACGCACCCGCCCCCACCGCCAGCAAGGCCAACCTGGCGATCCTGCATGCCACGAGCACGGCACTCATTGACGGCCTCCAAGACGTGCTCTCGGACGCCGACTTTGAGAACGCCATGAAGGCGGTGACCTCGTGGGTGCCAATCAAGGACGTGGACCTACTGATGAAGGTCGTCCACGCGGAGTGGAAGCGTTACCAGAAGAGGAAAGCAAGGCGGTAGCCTTGCGGAGAGAGAAAAGAGAGAGAGAGAGAGAGAGAGAGAGAACCAAAAATGCGTACAATGTAGACCGGTGCAAATTGATGGGACCAACGATCATTTGATTTTCATTTGTTTTACATTCACCTTTTCCACTTCTAGCCTTTGGCTACGTCGACAAACAGGATGACTGTGACGCCATTTCATTTGTCCTTTTCATTTTCTTTATTTTCCATTTCTCTTTTGTTTACTTTTCTTTTGTTCACTTGACTAATTTCTTTCTTCTTCTCACCATTTTTATTCTATTCTCCCTTTTTTCAAAAATATCACCAAGATACCCCGGGTTACATTGTTTATCTCTTCATACTTCATATACTTAGCAGCACGATATTTTTTCCCCGAGTCTTGTCTTTCTTCTCTCTACTAGTATTTTATTTTACCATTTCTATCATATTTCCATGGCTCATAGAATGTCATGACCTATTTTCTGTACAAAACGTTTTCATCGCACCGTGCCCTCTCTCAGGCCGTGAATCACTGCAGCCTCTTCTGAGAAGAGCAGCCCCCAGTCACGCTCGTTCCGTTTGTTTGACAATAGCCCCATGTGCCTCTGCGTCTCGTATATGCATGAGAGACTTTCAAATTAAAAACCCGATGCCCAAAACAGACTCTCCCCTCATTCTTGAGAGGGTTGCCACTCCGTACGTCGCTTGTGTATGTTTTGGCTTTTCGAATTTTCTACATCTGACCTGCTGTGCCGCATGCTGTATGCTGCACGTCTCCATGGCCGTAGGCTGTGTGTTGAGTTTCTCATTGTCAAGACAGCGCGGCATCTGTGCGTGTTTGTGCGTTCGCGTTCGCGTTCGCGTGTGCATTCGTGCATTCGTACATTCGTGCATTCGTGCATTCGTGCATTCGTGCGCTTGTGCGCGCTGCAACCAAGCGTGTGCACACTGACAACTCTCTCATGCTCATACAAAGGACGGGCCTGTGCCGTTGCAGTTGCGCTCCGGTCTGCCTCGTGCCGCCTTCTGTCCGCTTGTCGGCTTTTTCGACTCTGCCCCCACAAGAGGTCAACGGCGGCTTCCTGCAAATCATTGTGCATGGATCGCCAGCGCCCAAGGTCCATGCCCTTTGCTCGTTTTGGTAGTAAAACGTCAACACGGTGGTGTCAGCCGTGCTCGGCCGTCGCCGTCGCGATGCTTTTCGTGGCTATGGACTGAATGCCGAAACAGGAATCAACAGAAGAAATAGGCGTTCATGCGCATCTGCTGTGCCGCATGCCGTTGCAAGGAAGAAGTTCTTGGGCTCGACTGCCACAGCACTCCTCCCGTACGCGTCTGCCCCAACATGGTCTCCCGGCATGCAACCCTTCTTGATCGAGAAACCCATGCAGCCCCAACAGAAACAAAACATAGAGTAGCCAAGGCGACCCAAAAGAGAGGCCCAAATTGCATGCAGGACATTGCGTGCAGATGGAAGAAGGCAATCCAAAAGCGGGAGGCGAGGCAACCAGTCTCCTTTTCAGTACTGTGCCGTCTGATTTCCGTCTCTTTTTGTGAATTTCATCCTCTCCAATCTCCCTCCGTACCTCCTCCTTCTTCTCATGGTCTTCCCATCCGCGTCGAACCTCTCCCGCATGCTCCTGTTTCCGTTCCTTTGCGCATGTCCAGACGTCCTGTCTCTACAATTAACTTGAGTCAGTTGCTCGGCTGAGGCAGCGTTTGGTTCATTCCTCCCGCCCGCCCGCCTCTTATGTTTACCCTCTCCAATTTGCATTATACTATTTTCTGGCTACTTCCGAGCCACCCTTCTCCTCTTTCATGAGGTGTGTAATCAATCAAAAGAGTGTCTCGCAAGACATGAACCAACAGGTCGACGATATTTCATGGATGGCGTATACCAATACGGACTCTCCGCCCAATATGAATGCACGCCATCAGCATGACCAAAACGATCGAAAGAGGGCCAAAGAAAAGGTCTACCGAAGCCACCCTTTGCAGTCTTTTGACGTAGAGTCATTTAAAATGTCCGATCGTGGCGGATGAGCACAGCTTGTCTTATGTACTCAGTCTATACTGTGCCCCTGTAAGACAGCCCAGCACAATATCCACCATATTTATATACAAGCAGTGTGCAAGGAAATATATCGCATTGGTCAAGTCTACCACAACGAAACGATGACCAGAAAAGGGAAGCCCCCCATGGAGATTGGCATGCCATGACCACCAACCGCCAGGCCACGTACCATCGGTAGCCTGCCCGTTTCCCTCGAAAGATTATTTGCCCTCGAGCCGCGGCCTCTATGGGTGGCACGAATTCACTTTTCGGTCACTTGTCTGTCTGCCTCGGTCGGTTATGGCACTGTCGTTCCCGGTGTCTGCCTCGTAAAGTCTCGAGAAAATTGACATCTCTGTGTTTCGCCTTTATCAAGAAATTGGTATGGATCTTGGGACTTCATGCCCAAGACTCTTGCTTGTCACTCTCCCACTCTTTTACAGTTTTACTTTTACCTTGGTCTCGACCCCTTGGGTTTCTCAGTTCCCTCGGTCGTCCTATGCTGGACCGACTTGCACAGCTTTTTGCATAACAAGGTCCGAGACATGCCGGAACCAAAGACACGGTAGGGTGGACAGACGAAACGTCTTCGATCCCGCGCACAAGCAAAAGGAACGAAAGTATTCGCAAAACAACGGCTGGTAGGATGTGCAGAGTCGGTCGTGGAAATCACAATCTCACTTAGGACCAATGGTATCAGTCTGCCGGGCAAGACACGTCTGGCCTTTAGAGACACAATGGCGTCAATGAAATTACCAGTACGGGGGGAAAGTGCGCTTTGGGGTGTGGACACTGACGAGTGACTGTTTGTACGATGTAAAACGCAACAAGCTGGTGGCAATACCCTACGCAAAGCTTGCCTCTGTTTACTTTGCATTAATACAGCCTCGAGGCACACTCCAATTACCACCAATATCTATGGTAAGATGGCGGCGTTCTTACTTGCACCGTTATACATAAAGTGTAGACGCATCTTAATTGCCGGACCAGATGATGAGGAGTCCGGACTTTCTTCTTTCGGCCGGGTCTGGCGGCCGGCCCGGGCCACTAGTTCGGGTAAACAGAACGCCAAAACAAGCAAGAGCCATACCATGACTCTAAGGTACTTTAATGGATTCACTGTAGAGCCTGTATCGACGCAGACCAGAACCGGAACAATATTATATTCGGCAGTCCAACGGAATAGACAATTGGTGAGTATCGCTGTTCATCAATTTATTTGGTTGGTGAGGTTTGTTTTCTCAGCAATTTCTACATCAGGAAGGCACACTGGGAGCTTCTACCGATATTTTAGTACTGAATGTCACTCCAGAGGACCTGTTATACGTGGAAGAAATCTGTTCAGATAGGTCACTTTCTACATGCCTTACTTCTGGGTATGGTAATCTATCTCAGACATATCTGGGTAGATGCTACCTTCAATAGGAAAACAGCTTGAGCAGCTCAAGCAGCTACCCGTCCACGGGAGAGAAATACCGTCTCATGACCATTTTCATCGTATTGAGCTTTGCTTTCAGCTCTTGCTGAATTTTCGCGGTCCCGCCGGGGCACGGAAAGCGACTAACCGTACTGCGTAGTTTGAGGTCGTGGCTTTCGGATGTCAGAAAAGTTGGATCTTGAGGTGTACGACGTATCACTTGCATCGTTCCCAGCGTCTAGTGCTTTGTGCTTTCGCCATGCATGTCATAGTTGGGCCAGGATCACCTAAGAACTGTCGATTTTCATCTGTCACCATCATGTGTGCAACCTCCCAACCAGGCTGGTGCAAGTTCATTTCCATTTCATCCTTGTCTTGGCTTTAATAAGTCCCCGTGCTTTCTTTCCTTTCGTTTTCGTAGACACTTTCCTTCCACAAACAGCTGCATGATGCGCGGTCGAACTGAACGTACCTTGAAGGAGCATCAGCTGAACTTTTCCGTTGTAACACAGTAACAACCCTGGGCCTGCCCCATACTTGTCACATCCCCATGTCTCTGGACATCTCCATCCTTTGAATTTCAAGCCTTTGCATAGAAATCGTCTAGAGCATTCAGCCTGGCTTGTTCTTTTGTGTTAATGTTGTGAACGGCGCCAGCCTCCGTATTCGCTTGCAGCGTACCATTGCATGAGACTACTCCGTTTGAAAACAAGCGCCACAACTGCGTGCTGGGCGAGAACGAAGAAAAAGAAGAAAAAGAAGAAAAGAAAGCAAAGTCACAACCAAGCGAACGGGAAGGGAGCAAATTTTATTCCCTCGATGCATGTCAAGTTCCATCTCGTTCCATTCGATTCTTTCGATTCTTCAAGCCACAGCAATCGAACACATGTATGCCGTATGGAGTCACATGTAAGGGTCCTTTCACCTGGTCGGGTCCGCCAACAGAAAGACGACAGAGAAATTAGTAAAGGCCGCCGGCGTCGTCCAATCAACGACTCTGTGGAGAACCGAGACAGTAAAAAAAGGAAAGAAAACACAGGGGATGAAAGAAGCGGTAAACAAAAACGGTGTAAAGTCGTGGAAGTGAAACTCGGCGCCAACAAGGCAAACCCTCCATGACTGTGGGTGAAGGTTCTTAAGTGGCATGTAGTGAGCGTATTCCGTTCGATCTGTTCGATCCATTTTTATTTCATCACACCGCACACTGCTCTGTACTTGTCCTGTTTGGGGATGCTGCCGGACCCTCAGACTCCACCGGCCACAAGTCCCCGACAAGCCCATCGAGAGAGGGTCACTGTAACTCTCTGGGACAAAGAAAACGTCCGTGGCTCGAGGCTGATCGACAGGCAACGCGACACCGCGTGCCCGCCGGTGGGTTGTCCTTGTTGGGGTCTTGTTTTATCACTGCCTTTCTCACTTGCATGGCTTTGTGGATCTTACGTGGTCGTTTTTTCTGATATGGACATCTGACGAGTACGTGCACCGTAGACTTCGTGAAAGTGATGCTGTCCCTGCCAAGAGCTCAGATTGGTTACATGTCCCCCGACCT